AAAACCACCTTTTTATTGCAACTCGATGCATGTAAAGTCGCGTCGCTGTTGCTGTTTGCGCAGGGTGCGACGTGCACGACGACACAACCTCGAATTAGGGCTGCTGCTGGTGTAAAAATAAACTCAACCAACATTTTTTACACTTTATTCGCGCAAAAAAAAAAAACAATTTTACCTATCACACAATTTCACACTTGTCAAAGTCATATAAAAGTTATTTTCTTTTAAATATTTTACTGGTGAACTTTCAACATTTAAATATTCCAAAAGCACGTCACTTCTCCCTTTGCAATCCCACGAATACAAGTAACGAATGAACTCTGCTCGAATATAATATTTACAAGTTCGATTTTCCCATAAACAAAGGCTCGTATATGAAAGAAAATCATTGCAGACTTTCGACTTATTTTTACCTGAAGAATTACCCAGGCACGCCCTGTGTTTTAAAAGGTTCCGCTCGTTAACCTACGATCTCCGTAAATACACGCGTTGAACGTCGTGTAACACGACCGTACAATCCGTCGCGACTTAAACAGTGGTGGACGTTTCACGGGACAATGCACGTTTTGTCGATCATGGTGAACAAAACGAGCAGGCTTAATATGCTCCACATCTTATCGTGGAATCGCACGCGAAGCGGTCTCTTCGTCACGCGAAACGACGCTCGTAAAGAGATCTTGGAAATCATGTATTACGCGGCTACATCGAATGTAGCCGTGAGCATTTTCCATTTATCCATTCAATATCTCCGAATATACGTGTATGCACACGCGTGGTTGTACCGATTACATTATGCTCACGCGTCGAGAATCCAGTCGAGCTACCATTGACCGATATCACGCGATGTCTGATATTTTAATTAATAGAATTGGCCGCAGCCTTTGATCCGTAACGGAGTAACTCAACTTCGAAGACCATTCGGAATATTTTTCAAATCTGGTTTACTTTGAAAGGTATCAAAATATTTCAAAACACTTTATAGTCTTGTTAACCTGTTTCACTAATGGCTATAAATTTCATTGTACAAATATCGTTTGATTCTAGACTGCTTTTGATTTTTGTAGTACGTTACGCTATCTAGCTGAGCTAGTTTCTATGAAAATTTCAATATTTCTGATACAAAAATATGTGAAAATATAGCGAATAAACTATTCGTTGCATAATCTCCTAACAAGATAAACTGTTTAATTGCTATCGATTTTAAGGGAATAAAATATAACTACATAAAAAATTAGAATACTTTTTCTAACCTCAAAAAATTGTCCCTAGACAAGTTAACATCTGGTTGTCACTATCTTACTGATATAGATGCATCGATCGTTTCACATTGTTACTCTTAAATTAATCTTGGAATTAATCGGTGGAAAGTGTAGAAAAATGCAACAGAAAAGTTGATTCTCGGACTAAAATATAACAGCTCATATATTATTCATTCATCGTACCGGCGCAGTGTCTCGAACGTTTCGTTTGTTCATTGAATTCTAACGTTCGATTCACGTGCATACGGACGCAACAGCACACGGATTCCCACAGCATCGAACGCGGTTAGGTCATCATTGTCCATGGTCATGGGCCGTCTAGGTGGTCCTCGTGAAATGGAAACTGCATAATATATGCATGCGCGTTTTATTGCGGCACGCGGGCAAACGCATAAAGGAAAGGCAACCGCATTATGCGCGACACGAGTTCACCGACACGCTGGTTTATCTTATGCGCAGTGATGGAATCGGGTATGACGCAAGTAGTGCCAGCGTGACACTTTTTTTCCTTTCCTCGTGAAAAATTCAAAAGAATTCATTTTCATTCACCAATTTTAAATTATCACTGTACTACCATACAGTGAAAAAAATGAACGATTGAACTTTCTAACGATATTTCCATTGCGCTAATTACGCGGGAAAACAGTAAAAAAATTAATAACCCTATAACCAATAATTTATTCTTTAGACACATGCACATCATTTACACTTTTTAAAACAGTAATTCTGGTATTTTTAAGAATTTTTCAATAAAATTTTCAAAGAAAACGTTTTGAAGATAGTATATTTTTGAAGAATCGATTTATCCAACCTACCTACGTGTACATAACCCCTTAAACAAACTCTTATACGCTGAACGATGATTCTTCAAGCATGATTTCACGATGAAATCGATTTCGGAAGATTGAGATATCTGATCTAGACCGGTCACACGGTTCATAGGGCATCGAACCAAAATGTATTCTCACTGATATGGATTTTCAGGTGGTTTGTAATCTCTTCCACGCAGAAACCACCGATATACCGTCGCGTAAAAGAAGGACCGTGGGAGGCGAAGAGAGTGCATTCGCGTGGGCCTGTATCCTGTGCCACGTCCATTTGTCCCCGTGTCCGTTTCGTTTGTCGACAGTAGTATGTATGCGCTGTCGAGATTATCTTTTGGTGGAAAACGAGTCACCATAAATCGTACGGAACGTTATACGGTCTTTCGAATCTTTTACGATCAGGCTGCTCGAGAAGAATAGACGCCTATGTTAACTATCCATTGATTAATTAATATTAAATAACTTTACGAGTATTCTACTATTTATGGTATACATTTAATATTTGCCTCTTCGATGTGATCATCAAATTAGTTGTAATTGTAGTGTTAAAATGAGTTCAATATGAAAACAATACGAGAGAAAGATAGTACGATACATTAATTGAAGAATCAGAATTCGTGGTCGTAAGGAAATGTAATAAAATGTTTAAGAATAACATCACTTACGTCATATCCTTTTTTCTTCCAAGCTAGAGAGCATAGAGGTGAAATGATTGTACTCGTGAGAGTATATTAAAGAACGTTTAGACGTACGAAATTATAAGCGTATTGTTACATCCGCTTTCATTCGACATTCCTTTGAAAGAGAGATTATTATTACCGTCCTACGGACGGACAGGGAATACAAATGGAAGGCGTGAATGTATCGGGTGGGGTAAAACGAAGGAATTAACATAACGGCTCGAATCATAAGTTACACATGTATTGTCAAAAATTGATCGCAGAAGTAAAAGATATTATACGTATATTTGTATGCATTATAGAATTTCCTAAGTACGGTTCTACATCAGTTAACAATATATATTTGTATCCTTTCTCGTTTTTTTTTTTTTTTTTTTTTATCACTTGCTCTTAATGTAATTTGTAAATACGAAAAGAATTTATCCTCTTATGAACCGTAGACTATCGCGTGTTCTATAAATGTACCCTGATAAACGAGACGATGATACGTACGTACGTGTGGGGTTAACGACCATAAGGGGTGCAGTTGGGTGTGGCTTCTCCTAATATCGTTAAAGGTGGAGGCAAACGCTTCGTCGATTATTTACAGCACACAAAAGCAAATAGACTGTTCTAGCGTGTGTATATGATGTTTTCGAACAACAGGTGTCGATGTGCGCGTTCAACAATTTTATCTTTCACGAATCTCTCGCAGATATCGAAACAATAATGCAACGATGGAAATAACGTGCGGAAGCATTGTCGACGACATAACGTTTATTATAGAGAAAATGCTACACCGTTTTTCTTTGGGATAATGTACGAAAGTGCTTCGATTTGAAGAGCACGTAATTATCACTCAATTACAATTGTACAGTTCGAGTGTAAAAAAATTTTACATTTTTTTTTCTTTTTACTTCTTTACAGCATTCATATTTTTTTTTTGTTTTTCTTAGATCGACGAGGTACATAGAATAACTTACGTGCAATAATGTATGAAAAACTGTGTGTAAGATTACGTCTACAAGAGAACTCGATTACATAAGAGAAATCTATATGTAAATTGTATCGATAGAAAATTGCCATTTCTAGGATATCACGCAATCACAAAATTATACGATAAAATATAACTATCACAAAACGAGACAACATAAGTTTAATAAACTACCCAAAAAATTTCTTGCATGTTTCTTTTTTACGAATATATGCAACATTTTTTACTGGTGCATTCTCGTTTTGTTTCGACAGACGTATTAATCAACCTGGAAGGGAAAGCATATGAGAATTTTCCATTACAACAGATAGAGAGTGGTTAAAAAATGTGAAATAAAAAATTATCTACTATAATTATATTGATTATCGTAACATTACACTTAACATCAAGTTAGTTTCTGCCATTCATGCTTTTATGTATCCACAAAAAATTTACCCCGATACAATTATAGATCTTTAATAGTATATATATATATATATGTATGTATGTATATATATGTACTTATTCGTAGAATGATACTTTATTATTATTATGAAATACTTATATACAGTCACAAACGTAACATCTTCCAGGTTAATGAAAAATTTGTAATTTCTTTCTTTTTTGTTTTCATTACGAATTTCTATATACACTTCTATGTATATGCAGATACCATTCACGTTACGTAACGCAATATGCGATCAATATCATTAAATTTATCGTTTGTCTTGCCCCCACTTATTAATAGAATATGGTATTTATCTATAAAATGAGGTGTAACTGTAAGCATTTATTTACACTGCAACCTCACTTTATTCTATAATTTCCGTTTTGTAAACCACATTCCAACAGTGACTGATATCAACCAGGTCAAACATGTTACTATGTGATGTACTTTTATATTAAAGTTTTTAAATAACTCGTTTAAAAATATTATGTCAACCTACATTGCTAATGTATCTGTTTCCATTAGTTTTACCAATTTTACGATTTTTGAAAGGGACAATTTTCACTGATAATAAAGTAAAATAATATTTTACATTATCATAATTGTATATTCGATTGATACTTCACTAAACCACAAGACTACTGTTTCTTCATAAATTATTACATACATCTAATGCACTAGAGGCAAAAAATGTTCTTGTACCATTCCTGTGGGCCATGCTAGTCCCGAAAGTTAGCTCCACTGGAGCTACGCACAGAGTCTTTAAATAATATTAAACTGCACCCACAGTATATATACTGTCACTGCGAGAGAGAGAGAGAGAGAGAGAGAGAGAGAGAGAGAGAGAGAGAGAGAGAGAAAACATTTGACTATTACGTAGATAGATTTCCTTGCATTCAAACCTCTTATTATGAAATTGTTTGCAATATATTTATATTGCCATTGGCTTCTTCTTCCTCCTCCTCCTCCTGAAATGTTGCAATCGGTTCACGTTACAAGGAATCTCGTCTTTAAATAGTAATGCATGGTAACAATAAAGGTAAAATTAACTTACCTCATCAAAGCCAAAGCATGTTTCCATTTCTTTCTGCAACTTTGGGTCGCTTTGTGTATTTTGAGAAGCTTTGTTAGATGATTCAGATTCCATTTTCAATTCATCCATTTCTACATCTTCCTCTTCTCCGTCATCATCGCCATCGTCGCCTGTACCATTTACAATACCGTTTTCTTGGCTTAAAGGATCTTGCATTACCAAATCTCCATCCTCACTTGCTACAACTGCCATTTGCTAAAACGCATAAAACAAGTTGAATCCTAATTCATTCCTAAAAATTATACATTAACGTTTAGTGTTTGTAGTGTATACCTGATCAGTTCCTTGATTGTCAGCTAGTTGAATAACTTCCAATACGACATATTGTTGGCCGTCACTTCCTTCCACCGCCATCATTTCATCTTCATCTTCTTCTTCTTCTTCGTAACCTTTAAGTTTAGAAGCTAAATCACCTGTTTCACGACATAACACATGGATATTAGTCAATGACCTGTGTACAGATCATATCGTAAGTGTCCCTGTGATCACAACTTTTTGTAGTTGTAGTTGTAGTAAACATTCACCATATGTGTAATATTTTCTTTGTTCATAAAATTTAGATGGTTCTTTGAAAATATGAAATTTGACTTATTTCTGATTATACACATATAAGTGAATCAAGTACATATACCTTTTTCAATGGACAAAATTTTACCTGTCATGACTTCAACTCTTTGTCCATCTATTATCTGAATCTTTTTCTGTCTGCCCATTTTCAAAGCTTGTTGTTTTTCTTGAAGAGATGATTCTGGGTCATGGACAGCCATATGTCGAATAAGATTTCCTTTATGTCTGAATAATAAAATTTATATATAATTTTATCCTTACTTTTGTTTGACATGAGTATTATAAGTATTACATACCTGAACGGTCGTTCACATTCAGGGCATTGATGTGTTTTCTCCTGTGGTGGAGGAGGAACGTAAGAAGGATTGTGGTAAAGATTACAATGCCGTTTAAGAAGTTGCTTTTGTCTGAATGATTGAAAGCAATGATCACATTGATATGGTTTCTGATCGGTGTGAATTAACATGTGACTTTCAAGATGACGCGCAGATATAGACGCATATGGACATAAATCACATTTATAACACTTTTCTCCTTCATGAGTTTTACTGTGCAATTTGTAGCTATATCTACAAAGGTAAAAAGTATAATGTGTTTTATGTTTACAAAATAGCGTACTTTTTTTTAAAGTCAATATACAAAACAATTTTTCATATGTACCCACCTGTCCGGGAATGTTTTTCCACAGCGTTTACATTTTAAGGGTTTGTCAGAGGTATGTAATTTCTGCACATGAATTCTGAGATCTGTTTGTAGAATAATAAAAAAAAATTAAATTTATAATTTTATCATTTTTAAATATATGTCTCAACCTACCATTATGTATCAGTTTGTGAGCTTTTAAGCTGTTAGATTGAGTAAACCTTGCTTGACAAAAATCACATTCGTATGGTTTTTCTCCTGTATGTATGCGCAAATGTCGTTTTAATTTGAAAGTATCAGGGCTTGCATATGTACAATGCGGACACTGAAACACAAATCACGTGACAACTTTAAGGCCATGTACCTTTACAACTTCATGTAAAACTAAAGATATGAAAAATACCTGATATGGGCGTTCTCCGGTATGGCATCTAATATGACGCTTGAGTTTAGAGAGTTCAACAGATGCATAGTCACAGTCATGACATTTATGTGGTTTCTCATGAGTGTGTCTATATCGAACATGTCTAACAAGTTCACCTATAAATAAATACTGACAATAATTGCTATGCTTTTAAATACAACATAAAAAATCTACAAAAAAATTTGTACACACCAGAAGTTGTGAATGCACTATCACAAAATTTGCAGTGATGTGGTTTGGTCCCAGTATGTGTGTTAACATGATTTTGAAGTGAAGCCAATGTTTTAAATCCTCTTTCACAAACACTGCATTTATGTGGTCTTTCTTCAGAATGAGACTTCATGTGCCGTGATAACAGATACCTGAATTATAAAAATTTACGATTTTTACAAATCAAATAAATATTGTTTTATAAGATTTTGAAAAATAATATTAAAGGCATTTTTTTTTTTTTTTTTTTTTTCAATATACAAAATTTACCGTTTTGGACTTGTGTAATTACAGTAATTACACATGTGAGCTTGGGTAACAGTTTGAGATTTTTTGGGCAGAAACTTAATGATTTTGGTTTTGTCATCCTCTGCCTCTGATTCTGCAGGTGCTTCATTGTCTTCATTATCCTCAAAGTCATAAACAGTAAGATCTTGTTCACCTTCTCCCTCTTCACCTTCTGTACCTTCTCGTTCTACTGGTCTGCTGTCCTTGTCTTCAGCATCAGGTTGCTGAACTATTAATACATAACTGACTTCACCAGGATTGGTATCAGATGGTACAATTGTAACTGTTTGATATGCATCTCCAGAATTGATAACAACTTGATTGTTTCCATTACTGGCTATCTGTCCCTATGAAACAATATGGCTTTATAATGATAGTAAACAACCATGATATTTGAATACCAAAGTTGATAATTTTTGCTTACATCTTCATCACCATCAACATTTTCTAATTCTTCAATTTCATGATATTGTTCTTCTTGAGCTGTTTCTCCCTCATTTTGCACATCTGCTTCTTCTACTTCTTGAATCTGTACTTGTGTCATCACAGGTGTTTCATCATTGTTTGCTTGATAATAATACTGACCAGATTGGTCAACAAAGTAAGTCCCACCTTCTTCCCCACCTGATAATCCTTCCACTTGTTGCACTACAATAGGATACCTTGATAAAATTTGTTCTTTTTGCTACAAATATCTAAGATTTTAATCCATTTCAAAATACTAACACTGAACATGTTGCAATTGCTCCCCTTGACCTCCTTCTATTTCTTTATTAAATGTCTCTAAGTAAGTTTGTATCTCTGTCACAGATTCTTGCCCCTCCTCTAATTTAATAGTTGCCACGTTACTTGTCATGGTCAAATCATTAATTCATAAAAGTGTACTTTCTCTCATTAATCTGAAATACCAACAAACACTTTCTTTATTTTTATGCACCCAATTGATAAAGTTCTCATTTTAAATAATTTTATTTGTACTGAATTTGGTCTACTTCTAAATATATTGAAATTCCATTATGAAAAGATTTGTCGTGTGCTGTACTTTATTTATTAATCTAATGAATCTATTGTATTACTAAGTGTTTGTCTCTATATCCAGTAACTGATTAACTTAAATATTCATAAATCATCAGTGTATAATTCAGATGATGAAAAATGCAGTTTCAAAAATCTACATAAATGAATATCCTGAAAAAAATTGCAATCATCTGCAAAGTTACTGAATCATTACAGAAACAGAACAGAGTATCCAAGTATGATATACACGCAATGATGTCGCAAGAATGCGCAAGTGTAATCGTTTTCGCATTTAATAGAACATTCGAACATATGCAACTATACGAACATAACGAATTGCTCGAAATTACCACTAGAATACAAGTGGTAGTGTACGAGACATTGTGATCGCTTGAAATTAAAGGAAAATCAATATTTGAGGAAAGAAGTTGAAGGCATGATGGAGAGCGGATGCATAGCTTGATGAGGGGGGCAGGGAAGAATTGGCAAGTTTGATAGCGCGTTGGCAATCCTAGAAATCGAGCATCAGAGAGTCATAATGATGCAAAGTTAAACAGGATTGACAGACGCGACACGCTGTGTCGCGGAACGCCATGTAACACGCGAAGCGGGTAATGCGAACGAGGATGACGCCATAAGCAAAATGTGATCGCGTCGCGATGGCCAAAGGAACGCGTGGAAATACGTAGCAGGCCTCCAGGGTTCCGTAACCGTGGACTTTCGTCGAACACCGGAGGCCCCGAAGTTGCGCATTCTGTCGGAAAGCTTTTAAGACAACGCGGGTGCTTTCGATTTCAGGACACAGGGGGCATTAACGACAAAAATTTCAGAAAATTATCACCGTCGGCGCTGTCATCAATATGGAGGACGCAACGGAAGGGAATACTGTCCGTTCTGCTACGTGCTACAGATAACTCACCAATCTTTTGCGCTCTACTCGCGACCAGCAGCCACAGGTCCCTCCAAATACCTCAGAAAATCGTCTTTCTTCACACGGAGTCAAGTTTCCACGTTGTGCTAAGTTCGCTTACGACCCGAAACCTCGAAATATTCGCTTACCTCGTAAACTCGCGATCATTCGTGTGAGGGCGTTGTGTAAGACCCGGAGGCCAATATGGCTGATCGAACTACGAATGTTCAAATGCTGCGCGTTGGTAGCTGCGCACTGGTACGCGTCACTCGTCATGTTTACACCGGACGACTGTCGTTTTAGGTACTTCCGGGCATTAAACCTACCTCGTTTTTTACAATTATTTTTTTTCTTTGTTTTATATTAAATTTTCAGTTATAAAAATATGTCTTTAAGCATGAAACAATTGAATTGGTTCGATAATATAATCTTATTTATACCTGCATATTGATAATGTGAGATATAAACTCACTTGAAAGTAGAGGTGCATTTGACCAAACAAAAAAAAGTGACGCCATATGAAAAGAGCGGGAAAGTTGTAGTTAAGGAAGGGGAAAAGATTACATATTTTGGTGGGGAGACCAACACCCATTTATGTGAAACATTGTTACTTTTTTCCAACCGACTAAAAAAGCTGGCGTACTCCGGTGAGAAAAATATACAATGACGACATAATTTATTACACATTTAACTCTTACGATCATGGAAACACGTTTATGTATATCGAACTACTAGAAAATTCCATTTGTTTTTCTAATTTTTTATTAATTGATATATTTCTTATGGAACATTCGTCACTGATCAATAATGAAACGTTGATTTGTGCTACATTTTTTTTTTTTTTTAGTAAAAAATTAATGATGAAATGAACATTGAGTACAAAATGTAAACAATATTTGTATTTTAAACATTTTTTTATTATATCAATTTTAATTTGATCCAATACATTAAGGTAGAGAAACGTTATAACAACTAATGTACTTATTATTTATAAATACATTATATGGTACATTTCAATTAACAAATGGAATAATGTATAGAATAAATGAATACCATAATTTCTAATAAAATTATATAATCAAATAATAAGGTATCCATGTAAATTATAATTATTAACCGTTTTACTTTGTGGTTTAATATAAATTTGTTGCTAAAAAGTTTTTATTGGGTGTATAAAGAACACAAATTCTTTGTATATTGTGTATGAATGAAGAAAACAATTTGAAGTAATTTCAGCTATTAAATTATTTATAAACTATAAGGAAGATAAATTGTACAAATAGCATGTAAAAACACGTATAAAACGTTATAAAAATAATTCCAATTAGCTATATATATATTTAGTAATAATAATACATTTACGTTCCTGACATATTAAATATGTTATACATAAGTATTCCAAAATTAAGTGACTTATTTTTTGAAATGTATTTTATACAATATTCTTTCTTAACCAAAATAATAGCAGCAAATAAGAAATCGTATAAGCTAGTAATAAAAAAAGGTTCAGAGTCAATATATTAGAATTGTTACATAAACATAAGTATGCAACAATTAAATCTCCCTCATGTATGTATAGAAATGATATAATTTTCTATCTGAAAACCTATTATATACCCTGGTGAATGTGACAGGCCTGTTGTTTCATAGAATTTTTAATATCGATTCTTAACATATAAACAATTATTATGGCCATTGCAATTGTTATTAATATAGCAATAAATATCAAATACTTCAGAAGGACGACATCACTATGCAGCTTTGTATGACTTACTTTCAAATGTGCAATCTGTAATTTTCCAATTTATTTGTCAATGTATTATTCATCGATATATTACTCATGTTTTCATTATTTTAACTTACTTTACGAGAAAGTGTGTCTATTGGTCCATTTTCTGACATTCCAGATGATAGTAAGGAATGTGATTTTTGTATTTCACTATTTTCGGCTCCACCACTGGAACATCTTAGTCTGTGTTCTTCTGCACATACTTCAGACTACAAAAACGTGAATTAACAATTAAATTACACATTAAATGGTTATATACTTAATTTTTGGGTATGTTGTTACCTTCCAAAGAGCCGCCAATTCTTGACCGGATGCGATCGGATCTTTTAGTGGAAGGCACATTACTAAAAATCTATCGTTGTGTAAAAGATCACGTACATTATACTCAGGTTGTAAAATAATCAAAATCGTACGTCGTTCTTGAGGTGATAGAACTCCTGAACTTGGTCGTACTCTGAACTTTCCCGGTGAAGTTGTTTTCACCTGTTCGTTAGAACAATTAAATCTTTAAATTGCAAAATATTTCCAATTTTATTGCAAAATAAAGACTCAAATTGTACCTTGTAAGATAAGGCCTTATCAGTAGTTACATTTTTAAGTGCAATTAATCCAAAAGTTTCAGTTGCCGTTTTATTAAATATAATTGTATCTGATTCAATAAATAACACTACAAAACATTAATGGTTATGTGTTAATATACGTACAAAAATATAATACTCACTTCAATAAGTAATAACTGATGAATTAGAAAATATTGAACTACCTACACTGTTCTTCAGTTATTTGTTCCCCAAAAGTAGTTGGGGATGTTTCTGTTATTGGAGAACCCTCTGCAAAATGTACCTACAATTGAAGACAGGAAATTGTAATTAATTTTTGGATAATACATATTTCATAATATTTTAACACATGTTTTTATAACTAGCTATATACCTTTTTGCTATCAATTTTGCCATTCATTGTAGTATCTGTATTATTTTGTGCTTCTGATACAAATTTAAAAACATAATCATTAGTACCACCCCAACATGTAAGTGCATCATTGGGATCTACAAATTCATGAATGTTGCTTTTATTCACAAATTTAATTTTTGGAATTGCTTTAGGTGGCAGCCAAGATTTTATAATTCTAAATGCAGTGTTTAATATCCATGGCATTTCAAATATGATAATATAGTTTAAAAAATTAGGATAGTAATTTTTACAAAGACCAATCAGGTATTTAGTAAACTCCATATCCATATTTAAGATACCAGTGTCTGACATGTCAAAGAAAAGTGAAATTTGATTGCCATTAGTTTGTCTAAAATAATACAAACAATTAATAACATAAACTTTGAAAAGAAATTATGGATTTAATTCATTTTAAATTATGTAACCTTGCCTTTCCAATCTTTCAAACCAATAGACAACAAGTTTTTGTAATTGGGTAAAATCTTTACTTCCCTTAGTATGCATTTTACATCTAATGACAAACATTGTTTTACCATCTTTATCTTTACCATAAATAAAACACAATCCATTTTCTAAATAATCTTTGTTTACAATCTCTTCTGTAATCTCTGCAATTAAACAGTACTGATAGATACTCTTGAGGAAATTATATAATGTGACAGCTTAATAACATATGAATAAAAAAACAAAGAATATGAGAATATAATACATATGCCAATTTATATACTACCATTTGTGCCAAATTTACTTCTCCAAATACAAGTCTCCCATAACATATTAAGTGATTCTTGTACATTATTTTCATTATGCTCTAAGAATCTTTTTAACCAGCTGTTATTCTCTTTTATTCTGGCAATATCATTCGGATGAAACTCTGAAATTGCATTCAATTAAATGATTGATTGAATCATAAACAGCTCTGTACATAGTGCATCATTATTACATACTTGACCAATTAAATACATAAAAACTATTAGAATAAAGAATGTATAAATTATTCAGATAAGTTATCCTTATATTGTATTGTACGCATATTGAAAACATTGACCTTGAAATATAATCACAAAGCTTGGAATTTACTTTGTGTATTAACCAAATTCGTACACATGCAATTGTAAAGTATTGTCAAATTTATAAAACGAAAATATGTATACACACTAGGGTCTGGTGGTCCCTCATCATCTAATTTTTTAAAAAATTCCGCACGAAGTTCGAGGATTAATTCCGTTCGTACTTCCATCTTCGGTTAACCTGCTACTGGATATGACACTTTGACCGGCAGTGAACTATATAATGCGATAGCCACACAATAATTGTTTATCCGGACACCAGATCTGCGCGCTGAGAGACGCGCATACTGTTCGTACTTTATATCGAATTAATTAAAGTCATAAATTTTTCAAGTCATGTATTAGCGTAAAAAAACCCAATGCAAGCTCGATTTCCACGCGTATCATGTGTATTTTAGTGAGAAACATAAGAGCTACATGTTAATAAAAATAAAATTTAATTAAAAGAATTCAATTTAATACTGGTTAGAGTATTAAATTTTACTGCAAATTTAAAATGTAAATTTTTTATTGTAGTTATCTAAACGTCATTGGTAATGTCGCATCTCAATGTAACTTGTAATTAGCATATTATTTTCATGTTTTATTTTTAATTTTAAAAAATAGGATGGGTACTACGAAAATAAATAGGAATAAATTATTAACATATGACTATTCTTCTTATGCTCGTAATTTTACAATATTGTGTTAATAGGTGTAACAACATTTTTGACTAAAAATTTGTAATAATTAAATCACTAAAGTTACATATGTATAATAATCAAGGATAGTAATTTTATACAATACATGTACCTAAGGCGAAAAAATAGTGAACTTTCTATGTAATTAAGTAACAAACTTCTAATTGCTTATTTATGAAGTATTGGTTCTTATTTTCTAATATTAATTTTGTTCTATAAAGGCACTTGTTCATATTATAGATTATGAATTTGTTTTTTATTACTGAGATTGTGCAAAAAAAGAGAAGGAAAGGAACGGTGTGGTTTATTAATCGAGGAACTGATTTGGGGAACTAGGGAAATTTTAATCGACGTTTTAATTGCCGTTATAAAGTTCTATCACGTTATCATTGGTCGATTCCATATTTCATAAGTTTGTCATAAAATTAATTGCACTTAAATGCATGGTTTGCTTGTCATGGTGAAATCTATAGTTGATACGTCGACGCAATAATAAATATTTCCTGGATAAAAAATAAGTTATGTTTACCAAGAATAAAAATCTAATATCTGATTTATATCAAATGATAGGAGGGGTGTATGCATAAACGAAGTAATGTTTTCCGATACACGTGCACAAAGGTACACTGTATACGATGTATAATATATTTATGTGGGCATTAAAATATGCAACTAGTTTTATATCGTATGACAATATTATGTATAGGTATATATGTACAATATTTGACATGTCAAATAATTCACAAATAGTTTTGTTTCTTCTCTTTTACACATATATCTTTCTTGTCAACAAATAACAAAGGCGTGAAATATGAAAATTTTAATTTACACGAAAACAGAATTCTCGAAATACACGCGGTTGACTATTATGCACTTTTTTTCAACAAGATTCTTAGTCAACCCATGTTAACATAGAATTGTACAAAACGACGGGTATCATTTTCATACCGGCATATTACGTTCATCGTGGTAGTAATCATAATGCTACCTTGATAGAACACGTTTCAGTAGTTTCTTACTGGTTTTTAGTATTATTACAATAGATGTGGATACTTGTGTATGTATGTGTGTGTGTGTATATATAACCCAGTCTGTAACTACTGCTATCATTAAAAATCATATATATATATCCACACACATATCGTAATATGTATGTATATATCTATAAATACATGTGGGGCCATCCCATTTTTTAATCTATCATAGTCCACCCTTATATTAATAAAGGCATGCTAAAATTGAACAGGCATACTAAGGCATACATTTCTTAGAATAATTTATATCGTGAATCTTGAGACTTTGCATAAAAATTCTATTACAAAATTAATTGGCATATACAATTCAATGATTTGTATATACAATTATGCTATAGTTAGGACAGAACTATTGATATATTATATGCTGTGCATGTATCTTAACATATTTTATTGCAAATATCAATAAAAACTTCTTATCGAAAAAATCACATTTTCCCGTAAATTATTTTAATGATAGTGTATTATATGCAAAAGCATGTTTTGAGTGCCTTTATCATATTAATTGCAGACTAGGTGAATGGATTAAAATAGGGCAGCCATTGTGAGTATATGTATATTCATTTCAGTTTTATAAAACTCTCATGTGACAGAAATTAGCCATATGAGAGGTTTGATAAGAAAACACAAAAGATTCTGATAAAGATCTTTGAGAATATAACACATAATAAGTTTGTATAAAATATTCTGAACACTGTAACATTCAGATGCCGTTCAAGAATATACCACTGATTAATATTCAGTTATTAAATTGTCCATTTATGAATATTCATTTTTATATAACTGCATTATTCCTTTTTATATTATGTCTTAATTACTTCATGTTTGTCCCATCAGACACCATAGTACATTATCTATAGATCTTGATAATTTGAAATTTTGATCGATAATTGGCTACTTATTCAATTTAATCATCCGCATTATTTATAGGTATCCAAAATATTTACAACTTTACTCGCAGATGTTTCGATTTTTTGAAGTTCCTAAAATTCAATTTCTCTTTACAGCATTAAGAGGAATTCTGTTCAAAACTACTAGTTCCGTGCCGAATCTTGCGAAGTTGTTACTGATTCTCTGAAAGAGTAAAACTTCCATTGACTTCAGTAACTGTTTTATGTGAAAAAATTCAGTTACTTTCAGGGTTAACTTCGTTTGCACCTTCACCATCTCCTTCTTCACGTGTCATACTTTCTATGGGTGCTTGCGCATCCTCTACATTGGTAATGTTAGTGGATGGTAGTTGTCCTTGTTGGACAGCTGGTGGCATGGATGGTGGACCATTTTGAGTAGCTCCTTGCGGAAATCCCGTTTCTGCTGATACCAAATGCGATGGCATATGTGGTGAAGCAGTTTGAGATTTTCTACTTTTTTCACCCTTTCTCCATAACGTTATTTCCTAGCAAAAAATTATTTCATTACAGAAGTTGTCTTAATCAAAAGAAAAATGTTGGTGAAACATAGAAATATTGTTAAACCTACTTGTTGTTTAAAGTATCTACGATCTTCTTCATCCATTAGAACTAAATTAAGATAATATCTAACACTGAATTTTTTATTGATGTCACGCATTGTGGGTGCTAAATCGTAACCGGCTAAAAACACTCTTATTGGAATAGATTCGCCTCGGACAGGTGCTCCATCCATTATTTCGTATTTTGCTATAGTTTCATTTTCCGTAAATGTATGTGGACCTGCAAATATATATTCTAATTATAACTGTAGTATAATAAGTTGTGTAAAACGAATACTTAGAAAATAAAATAATTTTTCCAGCAGGTCTGTCAAGATATGTAGCAATATCAAAATTATAAGAAAGGTTATTCTAATTATTTTTATGAGAAAAAAGTATTTATTAATTATATAGTACCACATCCAGTAGTTTCCCGTTTTATTATGGCAATTTCCATGTGTTTGATTTTTATTCTAACCAAAAGAAAATATATTTTCCCAACAATAACATCTTTTAAATGATATCTGGAAAGATTAAATATATAAGCGTTAAACTTCCATTTATAATTCAGTGGTAAATGTAAACAGAAAAAGTTACATAATTTAATTGTATGTTACGTATTATAGTGTTATATAATTAAAATTTTACAATGAAATAACTCACTTGCTTTTATTATACTCAAATTCGATATGCAAACAGTCTTCAATTCCAACTTCCATTTTAATAGGATTGTTCATATCTGGATAGGAACTAAGAGTGTGCACAACTAGTTCAAGTTCTTTAACAATATCACTAAGTCTTCGAACAATTGTCACTTTGAGAAAATATCTTAATCGTACATTTGATCCTGTATAGCTTTCAAATGGTTTTTCTACATTTGCAAATTCAAAAGTATACACTGTATTATGAGTTAATTCTCCTGGCCTAGTCAATTCTTTGACTAGACTTGTGAATTCATGATGATTTCCTCTATCATAATATAATTCAATTTGTCCAATAAATTCTACTTTTACACCCTGATGTTCCAATTTACCAGCTTTCCTGAGACTAATATTAATCTGTAAATAATAGTGCAATAAGTAAAGTAACTTTTTTAATTTTTACATGTATGTTTTAACAATAATGTTACAATGTCTCACATAAAATGTAAAGATAAGAATATCAGTGTGAACATGTAAATATAAACTAATGATTTTCAGATAATAATTTACGTCCATGTATCTGGATCATTCGAATAACCATGGTAGGTTATAAGTTACATTCCTCATCTATATTTCCAGCATTTTATTGTCTTTTATACATTTAAAGAACCATTTTTACCTTTCCAGAAACGGTTTCACCGTCATAATATAACAAGTGGCGCTCTTTTTTGCCATCTTCAGATTTTATGTCTGCAGTCTTCCTGTTCTCTGCACCATCCAATGTAATCTCTATGTCAGCCGACTGACCGAACCCAAAGAAACTCTACGAGAAGAAGGAAAAAAATGAAAGAAAAACGTAACAAATGTCGTTAAATGTTATAACGAATGTTTTAAATGTTTCAAGGCAGAGGATCTACTAATCAGAAAGTAACATACCATTTTTCGTAAAAAAGATTGAGCTTGTATAAATGATCACACGTTCTATCGTAATCGTGTTTGCGCTAACAAGACCAACGTGTGAAATCAATGAAAAATCCTCGAAGGCAACATTTTTTCGCATAGAAACGAGAAAAGTTGTGTTATTTTTTGCTCGCTTCCTCCCAAAAGTCACAAGTAGCCAATATGGCTGCGCACTGTGGCCCCCACCCTTACCACGTACTGTCAAACTTGCAGTCGCGTGCAAGAATACGACAGGCAACGTTAGAACCGGTAGTATCTAGTATTATTTATGCCCATTCTTATTCCCTTTTAACTTTCCTTGATCTTAATTGGATAACACAGTGCACTTGCGTTGTGAATATCTCCCTTGAAAACATCTGTTCGTCTGAATGTCAGGTGCGTTCGTAATACCGTTCAATGGCGAATATCGGTGACGTTTAGAAATCAAGCTATCGTAATCTACACGTGATAACGTGTTTAAGTTCCGTTTGCAGTTCATTTACTTTAGGCTATATTTGAATCTTTATAAGCAGATGGTTGTTCGATATTTAAAGGGAGCTTTATATTAATAACATAATTGTTTATTAATGGATGTACGAGCTCAGGATAATTACGTGAGAGACGAGAACGGAAAAATCAATTTCATTATTCGGTATTCGTCATAAACACGTTGGAAACTCAATAATGAAGAATAATGAGATAAAAATTAACACGTTTCCTTCTATTCTTGTGGATCTTTGAAGAACAATGTGAGTATTTGTTTACGAGGTTATATTTCGTGTTAATTTATAGTATAAATTCGTTTCTACTAGATTTAATTTTTCACAAATTTCCAATAATCGTTTCGTAATACTTTGTACGATATTTCATTAATATTTGTAACAATTTCTATTTCAAGCAAAGAACCATGGTTATGTTGGTAAACACTATTGGTGTCTCTTTATATGATTAATAGTTAAGAATTTAGTAAATAAGCATAAATCATGGACTATGATTATATGTCTTTTCATAGAGAAAAGGATGTTCACAATAAATGTTATGGTGGAAGATTATGGTGTATTAAGGTATGTTAAAGTATCTTGTCAAATCATCTAAGTGGTTTTTGTTGTCATAAATACATTATGATATATTTTTGGATTACAGGACATATGTGGAATTATATGTGCACTTTTAACATGGTTGTTAATAATTTATGCAGAGTTTGTAGTAATGGCAGTTATTCTTATTCCTACAATAAATACTTTATATTCCAGTTTAAATACTGCAATATTTCAGTCATTAACTTTCTTAGCTTTTGTTTCTCATTTAAGGACAATGTTTACAGATCCAGTAAGCAAAGAGATTACCTGTGAAAATATATAGTTAACATATCCAAGGAATCAGTAATAATTACAAAAAATATTTTTATACTCATATAGGGTGCTGTTCCAAAAGGAAATGCTACAAAAGAAATGATAGTACAAATGGGATTTAGGGATGGTCAAGTAATTTTTAAGTGTCCAAAATGTTGCTCTATTAAACCAGATAGAGCACATCATTGTTCTGTTTGCCAAAGGTAAATTTACAATATTTAAAATCCTTCAGTATGGAATATGCAAAGATTGTGATACATTTGAATTTTTTATTTCCAGATGTATTAGAAAAATGGATCACCACTGTCCATGGGTTAATAATTGTGTTGGAGAAAATAATCAAAAGTATTTTGTACTTTTTACTGTAAGTGTCACAGTGTATAGAAATTAGTAATATATATAAATTCATGCAATGTATTTTAGTTCTACATTGCTGGAATGTCGTTGCAATCTTTATTCTTATGTATACAACAATTTACTACATGTGTAAGACAAGAGTGGAAAGAATGTTCTACATTCAGTCCACCTGCAACAGTGGTACTATTGCTCTTTCTGGCTTTCGAAGCCCTTTTATTTGCCATTTTTACGGCCGTAATGCTGGGAACGCAATTACAAGCGATTTGGAACGATGAGACTGTACGTATACAGTGATTAATATAAATGCATAGTGACCTAAAATTTGTTAATTTACCCGCTTATATGTTTATTATAGGGTATAGAACAACTTAAAAAAGAGGAGGCCAGATGGGTTCGTAATAGTAGATGGAAATCTATTCAAGCTGTATTTGGAAGGTTTTCAATTGCTTGGTTTTCGCCCTTCACTTCGCCGCCAAAGGGAAAAACAAAACTAGATTCTTATCTATACTCTGTGTAATATGTTACTACGGTATGTGGCTGCATCCCAGGGATATTTAATATTTGTAAATATAAACTCATTGTGACGTATCATGAATTCATGTACAAGTGAATAGAATGTTTGTAATTTTATACTGTTACCTAACGTTCTTATTTTATTGCGACCATTTTTGAAAGGTACTTAAACAAAGCGAACAACATTTAATATATATTTTAATTAAAAATTTGTGAACTTGTAAGCATACAAGGGCAGTATGCTTCTAGTGAAGCTTTTTGTATTAAAACTACTGAAATCATTGTATCATGGTAGAGACCATGACAATTTGTTAATTCTTTCTTAATATGTACTCATAATATTGGAACATGTTTACTGTGCTAGCGTAACTTGCATCGTGAAAGTTAATATATATATACATATACATATACGAAATTATGCGACTGTATTATATGTGACAAGGAATACAAGAAACATGACATTACTTTTACCATATCGCGAGTTTTAAGAGATTTGTCAGCTAGCGAGTTCGATGTTTTTGCACTGTTTTAGAGAAGATACTTTGCACGTTGTGATAGTAGCGTACTGCACTTACGAAACAGTTTCCTAATTTTATTCGCTGTATCTCGAAACAGAATGTAAAGATTTCTTTCTCGATACACGACGTTTCGACCAGACAATAATGTCGAGCAACCGGTGATTCTCGCGGCAGTAACATCTATTTTTACAAGGCTTACCTTGTTTCACTCGACCAAGCATATCATAGTTTTTAATTCCATCTTCTTATTCTTCGATTTTGTATTTCTACAATGATACCTGATTTTTTTTGTATAAATAAATTGTACAGTTTCCTACATTTACTCGTATTGTCTTTGCTTCTGCTTCTATGCAAATTATGCAATCTTTTCTCTCTTTCCTTTTCTTTCGATTTTTCTCTCTCTCTCTCTCTCTCTCTCTCTCTCTCCTTCAATTACTTTCAAGCAGTTAATTCTCGCGAAAAACGCGTTCAGCGCTGCCGCGACGAGACGCGAGATCGCTCGGTTTTCCACTTTCATCGGCTTCCGTTTCTGCAGGCCTCGAAGTTGCTCTTGGTCTTCAGCGTGGGGGCGCTTAGCAGTGGCAAGGTCGTTGAACGTGTACAGGTAGAGGAAACGTCTCTCTGTACTGTTGTGTGCGATCGCTCGCGAGCGGCTTTCACTTTTGCTACGGCCACGTTCGGTAAGTTTCAACCATGAAAACACGTTAGCTTCGCACATTTTTTTTTTCACGTTAGAGAAGCGACCGATTAATATCGCGAACCCGTCGTGAGGCAAAGTTCACGCGATCGTTACGTCCTCGTCTTATTCGGGGAGCGGGTTTCAGTTTGTTAACGGTTGACAGAATAGTGAAAGCAGAATTAGGTAATTAGGTTCGGTTTAGTTGAGTTAACGGCGCATACGAGTTCACGTTTAATTAGATCGATTTTTTCATCTGTCTCTCTCTCTATTTTGTTCTTCTCAATGTACGA